TTTTTATCCAGATGCTTAATGTGTGAAATTAATTAAGATTAAGATTCTTTTATTTTTAAAGATTTAAGATTACTTTACTCAAAAAAAATTAAGATTAAAGAGACGACCTTGAATGATGCATTCAAGATACTAAAGATGCTATAAAAAGGGGATGGGGCTAATCTAACTAATTTTTTATGAAGAAATAATTATGCTCGTAGTTGTGTTTTTGAGCCCCTTGTTTTTTTTATTTTGTATTAATCAGAGTCTTCCTTTTCAGTTCTGTTTCATGCTTCTGTTCATTTCCTGCTATCCTTATCAAAAAGGCTGAAAAATGTGCTCCTCTCTAATCGAATACTTCACCAGATCCTGCGTCCACATTCCTGTTGGAAGGAATTTGAAAACGTTAAACGGTGTATCATCACTAAATTAGCTTATGAAAAGCATTTGTCTACTCATAACATTTCACAAATAATCGTAACGAATTATATTTTTCAATGAAATTAAACGTTCCGTCCCGTATAAATTTAGTTAATATCCTTAACTTTTTCCAGTCGACTTAAATATTTGGTTTTAGGTCAATGTTCGGTCTTGTTGTTACTGAAATATTATTACTGATGAGTAAAGTTTCTTATACCAAAACATTTTTTTAGAGCAATTATACCAAAACAAATTCCAGCTAAAAATTATAGTAGTATCTAAGAGCACACTTAATGACAGAACTCTCCATTGTGTGTGTTAACCCATACATAAATATAATAAAAGTATTAAAAACATGTAAAATAAAATAACATATGCTGGTTTGGTTTGATTTCGACGATTTAGTGGGTATAAGAATATTTGTTTAGTATAAGAAATTTTGTAAGTTATGTTGATTTTAATTTAGTTCGATCAGGTTTACGAATAATATACATGCAAGATGTATTTAACTTTAAGATGTTAGTTATCAAATAAATAGTGTTGGTTCTTAGCAAAAGTTAAAAATAAACAGTGTTGGTATAGGATTATGAATTGTTGACGACATATACATATTCTTAAACTGAACTCTTCATAAACCCTTCCCATTTTCATATTCAAACAGAACATATTAATTACATAGTTATATTCTCTTGATTTATATACAAAAATTGACTTTAAAATGTTATATTTTGTTTTGGTGAGGGAGGAGTTGGAAAATGACTCTACTACGTTCTTACACATTACACACCTACTCCTCCCATCAAATCCCAAACCATAATCACTCGTAAAGTCCTCACCAACCGCAAAACGCTATTTCCCTTCAGCCACCAGCCGCGACCACCTTTTTCCAAAAAAGACCCATTTGCGGCTTAAACCAAACTCACGTTTTCCATTCTCAACCGTTGGATCCTCAATAGTCATCCAACGATCATCGTTAAACTCTCACCCACCCCTCATTGACAAATAAAAAACCTGTTCACTTCTCTTGTTGTGCTTACCTAACATTAAACACTACTTCATTGTCTTCTTATTTAAACCTCTCTTCTCCCCTCTATTCTTCCTCAGGAACACAACAAACTCCAAATCACTTCACCAACAATTCAAGAACCTCTCTCTCTATCTCTCTTCCTTCACCTACAATTCAAAAGATCTAATCCTATATATTAAGCAAAAAGATTTAAAACAAATGGATCAGATTAACGGATCAGTTCACCAAAACGGCAAGATCGAAGCCATGCTATGCGGAGGAGTAGAGAAGTCGAAAGTGGCGGTGGCTGTGGTGGCGGATCCGTTGAACTGGGGTGCAGCGGCGGAGCAGATGAAAGGGAGTCATTTAGATGAGGTGAAGAGGATGGTTGAGGAGTACCGTAGACCGGTGGTGAATCTTGGAGGAGAGACGCTGACAATAGGACAAGTTGCGGCGATCTCCAACGTAGGAGGAGGCGTTAAGGTTGAGTTAGCGGAGGCTTCGAGAGCTGGCGTGAAAGCTAGTAGCGATTGGGTTATGGAGAGTATGGGCAAAGGTACTGACAGTTACGGTGTCACCACCGGGTTTGGAGCTACTTCTCACCGGAGAACCAAAAACGGCACCGCATTGCAAACTGAACTCATCAGGTAATTAATTAAAATATTGCTAAATCATGCATACTAAGCGTACTATTAATTGAAACACGTATGGAATGTGATCAAAACATTAATTTATTTTCTATTTATTCGTTTTATAAAATTAGTGTTGGAATCAGAAAATTAATAGTTTTAGCTGAAAAAGCAGATTGTAGTTGCACTAACATGTAACCAAACCTTCATTATTGCGATGATATTTAGTTTCTTTTTTATAAGTAGTTTTAGTTGAATGAACAAATATTAAAAAAAAAATATTATTGTTTTTAAAATAACATTTAATATATTAAATTAAATATAATTAAACTAATCATAAATAAATGAGTATTATTTGATTGGAAATACTATATTTTAAATATCTGAAAACTACTTATATTTTGAAACACAAACATTTCTCTAAAACTACTTAAATAGTTTAGTGGATTTAGTGGATAAATGGCAGAGATAATTTGGTGCGGTATAATTGTCACTGAATATAATCACGTGGAAATAGGTTTTCCATTTGCATGGCAAACACGCGTGGTTGATTAATCGGTTCGGGTCGGGTTTAAATCCAACTTTTAAAAAAATTAATGTTCTTTTTTAATTTTTAATGAAATGATTTTTTTTTACCGTTACAGATTTTTGAATGCCGGAATATTCGGAAACACGAAGGAGACAAGCCACACGCTACCGGAAACCGCCACGAGAGCCGCGATGCTCGTCCGAGTCAACACACTCCTCCAAGGCTACTCCGGGATCCGATTCGAAATCCTCGAAGCGATCACCAGCCTCCTCAACCACAACATCTCTCCCTCCCTCCCCCTCCGCGGAACTATAACCGCCTCCGGCGACCTCGTCCCCCTCTCCTACATCGCCGGCCTCCTCACCGGCCGTCTGAACTCCAAAGCCTCCGGTCCCAACGGCGAGTCCCTAACCGCCGAAGAAGCCTTCAAAAACGCCGGAATCACCTCCGGATTCTTCGATCTACAACCTAAGGAAGGCTTAGCTCTCGTCAACGGCACGGCGGTTGGATCCGGCATGGCCTCTACGGTTCTCTTCGAAGCTAACATCCAATCCGTCCTCGCGGAGGTCTTATCCGCGATCTTCGCGGAGGTTATGAGCGGGAAGCCTGAGTTTACAGATCATCTCACTCACAGACTCAAACATCACCCCGGACAGATCGAAGCCGCGGCGATCATGGAGCACATCCTCGAAGGAAGCTCCTACATGAAGCTAGCGCAAAAGCTTCACGAGATGGATCCGTTACAGAAACCGAAACAAGACCGTTACGCTCTCCGCACCTCTCCTCAGTGGCTAGGCCCTCAGATCGAAGTGATCCGTCACGCCACGAAGTCGATCGAGCGTGAGATCAACTCCGTTAACGATAATCCGTTGATCGACGTTTCGCGTAACAAAGCGATTCACGGAGGTAACTTCCAGGGGACTCCCATAGGAGTCTCCATGGATAATACTCGTTTGGCGGTTGCGGCGATAGGCAAGTTAATGTTCGCGCAATTCTCGGAGCTTGTTAATGATTTCTACAATAACGGTTTACCTTCGAATCTAACGGCTTCGAATAATCCGAGTTTGGATTATGGATTCAAAGGAGCTGAGATCGCTATGGCTTCGTATTGCTCCGAGCTTCAGTATTTAGCCAATCCTGTTACTAGCCATGTTCAATCAGCTGAGCAGCATAATCAAGATGTTAACTCTTTGGGACTTATCTCGTCTCGTAAAACGTCGGAAGCTGTTGAGATTCTGAAGCTCATGTCGACGACGTTTCTTGTAGCTATATGTCAAGCTGTTGATTTGAGACATCTCGAGGAGAATCTGAGACAGACTGTGAAGAACACTGTCTCTCAAGTGGCGAAGAAAGTGTTGACTACTGGAGTCAACGGGGAGTTGCATCCTTCAAGGTTCTGTGAGAAGGATTTGCTTAAGGTTGTTGATCGTGAGCAGGTGTTCACGTATGTGGATGATCCTTGTAGCGCGACGTACCCGTTGATGCAGAAGCTGAGACAAGTTATTGTTGATCATGCTTTGTGTAACGGTGAGACTGAGAAGAATGCAGTGACGTCGATCTTTCAGAAGATCGGAGCGTTCGAGGAAGAGTTGAAGGTGGTTCTTCCTAAGGAAGTGGATGCGGCTAGAGAGGCGTATGGTAACGGAACCGCGGCGATTCCGAACAGGATTAAGGAGTGTAGGTCTTATCCGTTGTATAAATTTGTGAGGGAGGAGCTTGGGACGAAGTTGTTGACGGGGGAGAAGGTTGTGTCTCCTGGAGAGGAGTTTGATAAGGTGTTTACTGCGATGTGTGAAGGTAAGATTATTGATCCGTTGATGGATTGTCTCAAGGAATGGAACGGAGCTCCGATTCCGATTTGCTAAGACAGTGGTTCCTCTGTTTTTTGTTCTGTTTTTTTGCTTTGTCTAATTTTTATTTGTTTGAATCGAATGTTTTATCAGTGAGTGATTGTAATGTGAATGGTGTCACTTTGTAATGATATATATGAAAGCTTTTACGTGTAACTATTTTGTGGATTCGACAGTTTGACAAAAGAGATTATGACTCATCTTGTCTGACTTCAAAATGTACTTGTTCCTGGTCGTTTATGTGAGTTTCTCCTTTGGCATAGAAAAGTTTTTAGACTCATATGACATAGAACAGAGGCAACCATTTCTGAAACGTTTTGCTTTGTGTCTTGTCTTGAAATGATGTGAGAGGGAAAAAAACAATATTAATCATACTTAGTGACAATATTCTAAATGTTGCAACATTTGTAGATGTTTCTTTTTCAGTGACTCTTGCTTATGCTTAAGGATATATTAATCATACTTAGTGAGGAAGCTTTTACTTAACTAGTGTACAACAATATTATCTAAATCAACATTAATTTTCTCTGGAAACATTAGATCCACAGATGATGGACCAAAAATCAAATGAATATATATCTTCTTTCTTACATGTACATGCCAATGCACTTCATTTGATGCTGAGGAGCGCTACTGCAACGAACAACATCGAGGAAAGTGTTTTCATCGCATGGAATCAATAGTCTTGATGAATCAGAACTGAAATCATAAGCATCTTGAGCTTGATCAAGCAATGCCTTGAAGATTGGACGTTTAAGCAAACTCATCTTTATCACGAACCTCTTGTAATCCTCACCAACATACACTGCTAAATGTCCTCTTGGAACATCTTTAGGTATGGCTTCATTTTCCTTCTTGAATCCCCAAGAAACCTTCTCGCAGCAACTCTCACAGAAAGATGATGCACAACAAGGTATGACTATGGATTTGCTCTTCATGGTTTTCAATTTGTTTTCACAGGCTTTTATGAACTTGTTCTTCATTTTTGAGAATATAATAGTAGATAGGTCAAATGAGAGTGATGAGTGTAGAGGTAGAGATGGTTTTGTGATGAGAAGTAGAATGGTGAAGGACATGTGTATATATAGATGATTGATTGTAGATCCTAAAGATATTAAATGTAATGTTTTTGATATGAGATGGGCAAGTTTTTTATATGATAAATACATCACGAGGGGTTTAGATAGTGATAATTGTTTGCCATTTTTGTTTCACTCGTGCGGTTCTGTTATATTTGATTATGAAACTGAAATTGTACGAACATGCACTGCATTATTACATTTGCGATTATGATATGTTATTTTTTTCACATTGGGATCAGAGTTGTAACTGAATTTCATGCATGGAGGCTTAGACCCCACAAAGAAAGAATAGTGTGAAGATAAGAGGTATGAAGAAGAGGGATGGGTTTACAATTTTCTTGGACGAAGTGTGATCCTAAATTTATGATTCAAGGATTGTCTTCATTAGCAAGATAGTATACAAGATCTGATCTACACTCTAGTTTAAGTGACATTGTTACAATATTTATGGTATATGATAGTGTTACAATTGTATAGTTTGATGTAGAATATAACTTCAACGGTGAGGAGCATCTGAAAATTGATTATGATCAGTATTCTGTACCTATGATAACAAGCTATCTTATAAATGTAGGTCAGGTCTTTAATTTTATAGGGATTCTGGTAAAACGGTTATTATGCCTGGAGGTTGGAGTGCAAGTGTACGTTCATAAAGTAGTGTTCAATATGATTGGGACAATGAAGAGAGCCAGAACAGAGCACTTATTCATTGTGATTCAGATTCATCCCCTCGAAAATAGCTGAGTAAAGAAGAGCAATCATTCTCTTACACATAACTTTTGCAGATGAGCTTATGGTATGTTATTTTTAGGTGTCAACTAGTACATACAGTGAAGTTAAACTCGTTTGACAGTAGAACAAAAGATAAATTTTCTTTCAGGCTTATACAGTTATACTATTCCGTTTACTTACCAAACTATATATTGTTTGTTTATAGATATGATTACTTTTCAGTGTTTATGATGATTCTTATTTCAAAACAATTAGATCATCCGTCTTTTGAGCCATACAAACTAAACATATCATCTTCAAGCTCGTTAGAAAAAAAATAACATCTTTATATATATATATTTATATATAAATTCCTTATCCGTGTATTTTCTCATGAAGTTTAAGTTTTAGTCCTGAAAAGAAAACAGTCTTTGGACCAGACTGAAGTGATATATCATTATACCCGGGACGAGTTAAGCTGGTTTGAGATAAGAGTGAGGGCCATTCTAAACTATAGCCTGGCTTCTTCTGCATGAAATTTATTATGGGAACGTGAGGTTTTATGATATTATATGTCCTGTCTTTTGAGTCTCATACTTCTCACAGATGACCATGAATGATTTTTTTAGGGTTCAAGAATTTTTCTTTGATATAACGATATTTGCTCAAATTTACCCTATAGAACAACTTATTTTCTTAAATAAGAGATCTATTGCAGTATTTAGGGATCGAATTCACAAGGAGCTATGAAACCTATTAAATCTAATCAATAAAATTAGGTGAATATAAATAGTAAAACGCAGTAAACAAGTAAACAGTAAATATGAAATATTCATTAAGCAAGACAATTACTCAACAAGAATGGAATGAAGGTTTTGAACTAAAATGGAAATGTATTAGACTTATGGTTTTTATTCAGGTATTGGAGATTATAATCCTATAGGTGATATCTAGTTGTTTGCATGGTATTAAAGAACATTAACTATCTTAACAACAGATTTACTAAACTTTCATTTAATAAATAAGCCTATTAATTAGAATGTTGTTGACCAAGACAAGAATGTCCGATCAAATGACAGTGTCGATCAATTATTCTAGAGGAATATCGACAGATTTACTTTGCTCGACATCGATCGATTTATTATGGGAATATCGATCGATGCAGCTAGTCAAGCGTTACACGCGAATTAACAAAGACTCGCTATGGATCCCTAGATCAAACTTTCGCTCTATTTCCAGTAAAATCCTAGCTTAATCAGGATGTGTTCAAGACTATCAGAGTTACTCAAAGATGTTTAAACAACCTAACAATCCTAGATTCAGGTTTCTAGTTAGCAAGTCTAGAACATAAGCATTAAGAATATCATATTAATGAATACCACAACAAGCGATCCTATAGTTGGGGCTAATCCCACTAACATGTTTAAACCCTAATTCTAACAAGTGAATTACTCAGACATGGCTAAGCAATTCATAACACAAGTAAAGTAATAAAACTGCATAGTATAGATTGATAGAAAACAATGGAGTTCCAATCACAAATCTCTCTGATGATCTTCTCTCCCAAACTAAAATCGTAAAACCTTTTGCTGTGAAAAGAATACAAAAAAAATTCTCTCTCTGTCTCTAACACTTTGGCAGAGTATATAAACTTAGGTTAAAACTCGTTAGGGGTAAAATAGTCATTTGGTAATGTTTGGGATTCAAATTGGCTCGTCTCGCGAATTGGTCTCCGCGCCTTCGGCATCGATCGATCATGCTAGGTGCATGTCGATTGACGTGAGTCACTCCATGTCGACCTCGATCGTCGTGGTCGATTCCAAATCGAGTGATTTCTCCAATTTTCTCTAAAATGCTCCAAAAACATCACTGTTCTCCAAAATATCCATGAACTTATAAATATGCTTAAAAATTTCTATAATATAATAAATAGTAGTAAAAACACCAATATACCATGATTAAAAACGGGTAAATTCATGGTATATCATATAACGTCAAACATAAAAAATACACTTTATGATGTTACATATATGACTCTTTTTTCTTCTTGTATTTGATTGAAAACATAGGTGCAGATGAATATGTGAATGACTAGTGAGTTATCATTATGTTGAATAGAATTTTATTCTTTCTGCTTTTGAAAAAGTTTCATTTTAACATTTCTTATTACATAAAAATGTCATTTTAGAATTTCATTACAGTTTTGAGTTTGGTATTAATTACAAATGTATCATTTCTATACATAATTTATTTATTTCAAATATTATTAGTTGAATAAATGTAACTAACACAAAAATAAGTTTGTGTGAAAAGTGTATCAATACTCTTTATGAAACAGAGAGAGTATTATATAGTAACAGAATAATTTTTTGTGTATTTAATATCTAAGGAAGATAAGCAGGTACTTATAGGCCTGGACATTTTATCACGGACTCGAAAACCTGAATCGGAACCGACCTAAAATACCCTACCTAAAAAAAAAAGGAAAATTTATAAGTACCTATTAGGTCTAAAATTCTTTTACCTGAAAGAACTGGAATCAAAACAAATCGATCCAAATAGATTCTGGTCCGAAAAATCCGACCTGAATAGATTCCGATAGGAACCGATTCATATCGGACTTAATAACATAAATATCCAAAATTATGATTTTTGTGTTCTATTTTCTATATTTTATTTTATGGTTTAGTTAAAATATTTTCTTATTATCAATTTTTGTAATTATTTTTTTAACATTTTCAAGTAATATGAATTTTAAATGTAAATTTAAAGTTTACAAATGTTTTATTTTAGTTATTAATAGTTAATTTTAACTTATAAATATATATATATATATATGACTGATTTTGACTAAATTTGATGGGATTTAGATATTTCGTGTCCTTTTCATATTTTAAACCTTCGAACCCAAAACAGATCCAAATGCTATGGCTATTTTATAGGTGTTTTAATTATAGATCCAAATCGATCTGCACTCGAAAATAACCAACCTGAATCCGATCTGAAAATTTATAAATACCTATTAAATATAAAACTCTAGGACCCGAAGGATCCAGATTCAAAAAGAACCGATCTGAAGATCCGAACATCCAAGCCTAGGTATTTATATCATTCTTGGTTTATTTGTATCCGTCGAATGACTAGCCACTTTTGGAAACTAAGTATAAGAGAAAATCTTAAACCCTGTCGTTCAATTTTTTCGAACACAAAACCCAATAACCAACTCTAAAACTCTAGGATCCTGATTCAAAAAGAATCGATCTGAAGATCCGAACATCCAAACTTAGATACTTGTATCATTCTCGGTTCATTCGTATCCGTCGATTGACTAGCCACTCTTGGGAACTAAATATAATAGAAAATCTTAAACCTTTTCATTCATTTTTTTTAACACAAAACCCTATCGTTCATTTTGTTTAAAGAGCATACATATTTTGACTTTTGTTTTTTTGGGAAATATAGAAAAGAAATGGCCATGGATGAGCTAGGGAGCCATACCTTGTTACACCCACAATTATTTGATTTGACTTTCCCATGTGAGTTTCCACAGTTACTAGCTGTCATTATTTTCCCCGTGTGTCCCTCTATTATCAGATCACTATGGAGTAACGAATTTTCAAATTTATTTTTGGGTAAAAAAAGTTTTGATTTTACTTTTTTACACATACTCAAACAATATAAATAATCTTTTCTAAAATTGAACTAAAAAGTATATAATAACAACCTTTTAAAAAAATAATATAATAACGAGACATTTGTTAGTTAATAACCATTGGACTAAAGCATCAATTTGATATAACAGATAAAGAAGCAGTAATCTATTATATTAAAAGAGAAGTCATAACTCACTTCATGTGTGATATTTTAGTTTGGACCATCTTTAGAGTTTTATAAAATTTTACATAACATTATGATATCTTTTCATATCTTAATTTTTGTTTGAAATACAAATAAATAGTTTTAATAAAATCTAACAAAATCTTTTAAAAATCTTTTAGAATCTTTTTCAAGATATAGTTTCAAAAATTATTTGATTAAAATTTTAACTATCATAAAATATAATTAAATTTCAATTCCTTTTTTATTTATAAACAAAAAATTTAAAATTATGTAAAATACTTTTAACAATATCCCAAAATTTTATTTATGTATTATGTAAGTCCAACTTAGTTAATTTTTACATAGATTTC